TGATAAGGGGCCCACGCCCAATAAATGCTTCGGGCCGACCTCCCATGTGAGGGTGCGTATACACCGGAGTGCACACCCCCATGTGATAGATAAAGGCTAAACATACTACATCTCCACTTTTCAATCTTTCTTACTCTAAAGCCCTCGTTTCACAAAATTTCCAATGTCAAATGCTTTGCATTGGTCGAAAGTGTTAACGAAGAAAATGGTTTTTCTAGACTATATGATTCAACTAATTGGGTGATCAACATGGGAACAATTAATAGACTATGAGTTGATTTATTTATTGCGTGCTGCTGTGAATAGCCATGTTATAGATGCATTTGCAAAGAGTGGTAGCATAGAGGCTGCAAGAACATTACTTGAGGCCAGGGCTCAAATAGAAGAGGCTTTTTTCTTGTAATGCTTTAATTGTTGGATATGCAATTTATGGTCATGCTTATGAAGTATAAGATTTCTTTAAGTGGATGGTTTTTGAAACTCTATCGCAACACAGTAAAATCCGTGTGAATTTTGAGATTTAAGGACGACTTTTTCCAACCCAAGGAAAACAATTCAGTCCGACTATAAAAGGCTTAATCAGTTTCAGTATTTTATTTTTATATTTCATTTGTCATTTATTTAGAGACTGTTTGAGCTTTTTTCTTTTGCCCAAAATACATTTTGGAATAGTTGATGGAGAGTGTGTGGTTAAAAAAAATAAATAGTTTTGGATTTGCTTGTAATAATATTTTGTTAAAAAATGTGTGATTCTAAATAAGAGAAAGAAAAATATATTTTGAAATTAATGAAGACTTAATTAGGTCTCATTTAATAACTTATTAGGAGTTGAAGGACTAAGTGAAAAAATTTCTAAAAGTATGTGATTAGGTTTGTTACTATCAATAGTTGCTGCCTCCTTCCTTCAGTTTGGGTGCATCTTAAGCCCTTGTTTGATCTTCATTCTTTAGAAAAAATGAATTCTTCTCCAGTGTTTCAATATCATTTTAACCACACATTTTTCAATAAAATAATATTACACATAAATCCAAAAAATTTTCCTATTTTTTAACCACAATTTATCATCGATACACAATTCAAAAATTCATTTTTCCCTCAAAATGGGGCTCAAACAAGGGCTAATGAGTTTTGAAATAGTGATTTATTGGAGAACATATGGTTAAAGACTCTAGAAAAAATTTTAGGTTTACGAACAAAATATTTTATTGTGAAAACGAGTGGTTGAAAATGAATCTTAGAAAAACGAGTTTTTGGAAAATGGTAGACAAACAAGGGCTTTGCAGCCATTGGGCCATACGAAATTGTGAGTTGAATTTCTCCAATTTTTATACAAATTTGATTTTTGAATTCAAGCAGCCATTGGGTCATCTGCAAACAATTGATGGCACCCCCGACCTGCACGATGTCATCAAGTCATGACTGCAAAAGTAGCCACATGTATAGCTGCAGCTCCCCTAGCATTGGCTCGTGAACCAGGTAACGAGAGCTCACCTAGCGATCCAATCTGTGCAAGCTAACGATTGGCTCATACAGAAAATTCCCAGCTTGAGTCACCTTTGAAAAGAAATGTTCTATAAAGGTAAATACGTTAATCAACTCCTAAAAATCAATGTGAGATCCTAGGGCATCAAGAGAATCAATATCTATAAGGAAATCCAATTCAATAAGGAAACATATATGTCAAAGTGAACTTACCATGGTGTTGGATAAATTATTCTCAAACCATAAGTGCCAGAGAACACCGGTTTGTTAATTAAGTTCAACCTATCTTCAACATAAGGTAGGAGGGATCTTGAAAACACTAAGATTACAAATGCACTAGATTTTAATTGTTTTAATGATTTGAATCAAGAAAAAACAGAGTGCATTCTTACATGTGTTAAAAATACGTTAAACTGCTAATATTAGAAAAAAGATGAAGAACTATGAGGCGCCATGTTTTAATTCGATCATGCTTGAAGTTTATGAATATGAATTGACTTGATCTTGGCATTGGTAGAAAATGAAGAACAATGATCCAGACAAAGATCAAGTCAAGATGTTTAGTTGCGGGAATGTGTAACTGGTTAAAAACGCTAGACTAATAAACTGGTAGTTCATCCAATTAATGAGACGATAGTTATAATAACATCATTTTCACGACGTCTAGACTAAATCCTAATTGAAGCATAAACAGGCCAAGATGATTCTAGAAATATAAGGATCCACTTCATGTAATATAACATGACTTTTAACAATGCACCAAGCATATTGCTTTGGCAGTTCAATTATGTCACGAAAAAACCCGAAGGCCGAAGGCATAAGTAACCGTTTAAAACATGAACCGCTAAATGTTTGAGTTTGGACCGATGATATCAAGTAAGAAAAATAAATTAAAATTTTGTTCGTCATCATGCACTACCTAGTACTTCACTTAACTTATGAGCGCTTTCATTAATGGTCATTAAAGTTTACAAACTTGCAGAAACGGCACCATTAGGACTCTTATGATTTTAATTCAAACTTAAAGGACCAAAATATGTGTATATAGAATCTTGAGGACCTCAAGTGCAAATTGCATACCTTAAAATGGTTTTTGTTGAAATTTATACTAAGGCCCCAGTTAATTCCCATTTTTCTCATAATACATTTTTCTCTCTCTTCTTTTCAACCACACATTCTTCATTAAAATAATATTACGCATAAATCAAAAACTTTTCCTTATTTTTCATTCATATATTCTCCATCAATTTACTATTCTAAATTTCATTTTTCCATAAAAATGAATGTCAAACACCCTCTAAAAAAATTCTTTCTAATTTTATACTAAAAAAAAAATTAAATTAAAATTTATAATAAAAAAATTCTTTCCAAAAATAATATTTAGCAAATAATTATGTCCAACTAATTGGAAAGTACTTTTCTAGTTATCAATTTCTATCAATTTAATGTTTACAACATTGTTTTTATTGACAACCAATCTACTTATTGAAATCATGTCTACTTCACCATTAACTAAATACCAAGCTCAGTTTTTAAAGTTTGAAATTAGCACTTGAGATCCTCAAGGTTCTATTTTCATGTGTTTTGGTTCTTTTAGTTTGAATTAAAATCACAACGGTCCTAATGGTGAACTTTAGCGACCGTTAATGAAAGTGCTCGTAAGTTAAGTGACTGTTTCTGCAAGTTTGTAAATACAATGACCGTTATAATTTTTAAGTGCAGTGATCATTGTGAAATTAACCCATACTTTTACTCTCATATAAGTGTTAGGCTCTATTTTATATGATTTTTTTATAATGAAATTTGTAAAAATGAATTTGTTAAAGAACGTGTGTTTAAATAAATAAAAATTATCAATTTACACGTAAAATTATTTTATTTAGAAATAATTGATTGAATTTTTTTTTTTAAAGTAACAATCCTAGAATAATATTTTCGAGTTGACTAAACTACTCTTTTGCATCAAAACCGATATTTGCCGATAGCGTTTTGACATTAGCAAGATAATGACTGATTGGTGATATAATGGCACGACTAAAAAAAAAAGTTGTACTTTACCTCCACTCCGGCACTCATCTCCAATTACACCGACAAATTATCTCATCATGTCGCCACACTGGGGAACATTGAAAATATTCATAGTTAAATAACATTAATTCCTCTAATCTTTCCAACCGTGGCGTGTAAAGCTCTTTTGGATGATTTTCATCCACAATTTCATCAGTTGACTAAACATTTAAGTTTGATCACATCTTTAAAGCTGTTCAGTAGTAATTATAAGAATTAATTTTTTTGATAGTTAGAAAGAAAGTAGGTTCCACTTGTAATTGAAGAAGTAAAAAATGATTGTTGGAATGGTTAAATAACGATCAAAAATTAATTTTTTTGATGAAAAATTGCTAATCAAACGAGGACTTAGTATTTAAAAAAAAATGGAAAATAGTAAAATTTTATTTATCACATTTAAATCGATTAAGGCCCTATTTGGGAGTAATTTTGAAAATTTATTTTGTGATCGTTAGGAGAAAAGTGGGGACCATCTGTGAGATAAAAAAGTCAAATTTTACTAAAAGAAGGCTAAAGTCATCGGTTCAAATCCGATTAAAGGGCTTTTTCGCGGGAGTTTCAAACAAACACTCTATTTTCTTGGTATGCCGCTCGAGCAGAGCGAATGAACAATACATAGAGATACGATCATGACTTCAATTTGTGTTTCATTTTCAATTATTCTTATTTCGACCCTTTTAGCGACTTTGCGTCAGATCAAGCTTTTCAGGTGCTGTTGTCAATTGTTTTCATATCTTTTTAGATTTAGAAATCTACCTTATGATCTCCTGTTCTTACTCATTCTAATTTTTGTTTTCATATCATGGATTTTGATTCGTTCGATGTCTCATTTGTACTCTAAAAAAAGGAACAATTGTGTTCGTGTAGCTAATTTTATTTGGACCATTTCTACTTGTATTCTTCGTCTTTCTTCTTTCTCTTCTTGTTTGGTCGAGATTTTGAAATAACGGTAAAAAAAATTAATTTTTTTTGATGAAAAATCACTCCCAAAGCTCTAAATTAAAGGAGGAGAAAAAAAAATTAAAAAAAAAATAAATGTATCGTCTTCCTCGCCTTCCCCCCGAGCCCCCGAACCCAAATTCGGAGAGAATAATTTTCACCATTAAACCGCCAGAAAAGCCAACCTCCATTTCAAAATTGCCAATTACCGCCGCAGCAAAAGCCAAAATCCAAAAAAAAAAAAAAATGTGGAAGTTCGTTTCTGAGAATAGGTTTTTCTCCACCCTCAAACTAGCTTTTGTTATATCCAAAAATGTCGTTCCAAATCTTCCAAAGCTCATTCTCTCCATTATCATTCACACCCTCCTGTTACACTCCACAACTCCATTTCACAAACAATTTCTCTTTTTAAAAATCGCTCTATTTTCGATTTCACGGCATCCCTAAATCAACACATAACTGTAGCGTTGGAGCGCCTTAAGCCACATGTATGTATTATTGGTACACTAGTTTTTCTGAAAATAAAATGAAGTAATTCTTTATTTGCCATCTGACTATTTTAGCCATTTTCTTGGTCGTGCTCTTTTGAACGCAATGCCAATAGATTATTAGGTAAAACAGAATACCAAAAACACTGCTAGAAGATAAAGAAAATTAGTTTATGATTTTGATTTTTGGTGGACGGCATTTGACGGTTTAAGGTGGCGGAGGTTTCGATGGGCCTTCGTTTGGGTTGGTTGACGGTGATTGACCCACGACTATGGGTTGTGGGTGGGAGCATTTGGTTGGGGAAGAAGATTCATTTATTAAGTGAATAGACGATTTTACCCTCCTCTTTTTGATAGAAAATGGTCAATTTTAATTTTGATGGTCACCTGGCGGAATTGTGGATAAAACCGTCCAAAATGACCTCACATGCAATGATTGGAAAGGTAAAGAGTGATGACTGCAATAATTGAAAGTTTAGAAAAAAGTCTGCTAATGATTCAAATATTTGGAGCTTTTGCTTCAATTATTTCTGTGATTTATAATAAGAGCATCCTTTCCTTTGCCTACCTCGTCAATTCACTTATTGAATGTTTATTTTCTTTCTAATTTTAAATAATATTCTTGGATTTTTGGCCTTGTTTTCTTGTGCTAAAAGAGTATTTGAGTTTTGGAGGGTTCTTTAGCATTGTAATGGGGATTTGCTTCAGCAACCAAATCAAGGCTGAGAGCCCATTTTGTACTGGTACAGTTATATTCCGAATTTCTCAATCCATTTAGCAATAGACTAGAATGCCTTGCTCTTTACCATTGTTCAATTTTTCGATTATTGGGAAGCTCACCTCTGTTTAATCTTCCAGCTTTATTTTCAGACTTAGAAAATGACATGAACCCGTTTGTGTTTCTTAGTTATTTATATGAATTCTTGTTCATTTATATCCTGTCAATTAGGTCATGTGCCCTTTCCACCATATGTTTCTGCTTTGTGCTATAATTGCTAATTTTTCAGTATGGATGGAATATATAGGCTGCAGGTGCAATTACAATTCACAACCTCTGCATTTGCTGAGTCAAGGGTTGTTGGTCTTTAATTTCCTATAAAACTGCCAAGAATAAACAATGAGATCAGTATTTGACACAAGAGATTCTACCGGGTTGATTTCTTCATCAATGTTTTTATATGAGGGAATCTTCAAATATATTTTCCATTGTATTTGTTACTGTAAAAGAAATATATGTTCTTTATCTTCACAATTTTTGCTTGAGTTTTAGATTTTCTTAAGAAATCTAATGTGTATTTGGTTCAACGTGTTGAAAATCAGCACGTCTTCTTGCCAAGTTTCCCAGAAATTTCACAAAGCTAGCAACTTATGTTACCCAATGATAAGTTTTTCTTAATTGTGAAGTGTCCAGCCACAAAGTTTGACCATTTCCTTCCTAATGAAGAACTCCAAGCCACCCGATTTTCTTATGCTCAAAGAAAGTTGCATAGTATTCTTGTTGGCTGGGCAAATATAATTGAAAATGATTTGTTGATGTGGTCAATTTTTATTTGTCTGATGATGCTTCTGCTTGCTCCAATCCTGCCGCCAATAGGGTCTATAAATATGGAGCTGTCTCATTTTTTTATGCATGTTCTGATAAGTTTGTGAAGTAATGTGTGGTCTGATCAGTTTTGAGAGGTTGTTTACTGATCTGTTTTCTTTGTGTGTGTGTTCTGATAGTGATTGTTACTAAGTTTCATGTACTTGTTTTGATTTAATATAAGAATTGAGCCTTTTTCCCATTTTAAGATCCAACACAACACTCAATCAAGTATGTTGCCAATGGAAAGTGCTGATTTTGAATTTGTGATGTATAATTTTGTTACAACCAAAAATATATGATCTAACTGGAAAATATCTGTAGGTGTTATTTCTTCTAAAAGTGTCAGTGGAAATGGGACTGAGCTAAGTAATCCAAGCAGCAAGGACTCTTCTGCTTCTATGATGCCGACTCCTCGGAGTGAGGGTGAGATCTTGCTCCAACTTGAAAAGCTTCACATTCAGCAATCATATCATAAGTGCATCCATTCCTTTGCCTACCTCGTCGAGTCACTTATTCACAATGTTTATTTACTTTCTAAGTACAAACAATTTTAAATTTGAAAATGTGAAAAGTTCTCAAGAAAATATAGAAGATTGTTACAACCACTTATTAATTGTTGAGTAAACTTGACTACTATCTGAGAATGTAGCATATGAAAAAGACTCACCATTCACAAGAACAAGAAAGCCAACAACTAAGAAAAATTACTTTCAACTTAAATCAATTAGTTGAGTTCTTGATTAAGAGAGTATTATAGCCCGCTCAAATTGTCTGCGTAGAGAAGTCAATTTGGAAAAGCAAGTCAATCTCCTGTAGTTCACAAAAATGTCCAAAAAGTGGTTCCTTTCATATGAACTGCAAAGAAGAAGAGCAAGAAGAGCAAGAAGAGTGGCTAAACAATCCATTTCTCACTTTTTTACCATCCCTACTTATAATTTCTCTCATAATTTTCTTTACTCAACTGAAAGGCCCTGTAAGAAAACCACCCGCTCATCTTCAAGCTTGCTGTTTTGTGAAGAGGTGCGATATGCTGGGCATCTAAGAACTAATTTTGAGTGTCAAATCAAGAATATTAAGAGGATTTACTTTAGATCTTGGGTCATGGGACTTGGGGTGGTGTTGTAGTTCATTTCATATAGACACTTGAGTTAGCAACTTTTTGTTCTTTATGCTTGCATGCTGAAAAAGAAAAAATAAAAAATAAAAATGTTCAGGTTTTCTTTGAATTTTTGGCCGTGTTTTCTTGAGCTATAAAATTTTTATATTATTGGAGGAAGTGTAAAAGGGATTTGCTTGAACAACCAAATCAAGGCCGAGAGCAATTTTCATATTGTTACAGTAATTTTCTGAATTTTGTCAATCCATTTAGCAATAGACTAGAATGTCTTGCTCTTTGTTATTTTTTCAGTCTTTTAATTATGGGAAAGCTCACCTCTTTAATCTTGTAGTTTCTTTTTCAGAAGTAGAATCTGTGACACATGAAACAGTTTGTGTTTCTTTGTTTATATGATCTCTCGTTCTTTTATATCCTGTTAGTTAGGTCATATATGCCCTCCAACATATGTTTCTGCTCAGTGCTATAATTGCTAATGTTTTAATATAGATGGAATATATGGGCTGCAAGTGAAATTGAAAATCACATAATCTGCATTTTCTGAGTTAAGGGTAATTGCTCTTTAATTTCCTATTGAACCTGCCAAGGAAAAACAATGCAATAGGTATTTGAGAATACATATCCTGCTTTCTTGATTTTCTCACGAATGGTTTTTATTTTGGGTAAACCATACATTTTCCATTGCATATGTTACTGTAAAAGAAATATCTACTATTTATCTACACGATTTGTGATTGAATTTTGGTTATTTTAAGAAATGTAATGTGTTTGGTTCAACAATGAAAAGTTTGATTCGAATTTGTGATATTTAATTTTATTACAATCAAAATATTTGATCTAACTGGAAAATATATGTAGGTGTTATTTCTTCTAAAAATGTCAGTGGAAATGGGACCGAGCTAAGTAATCCTAGCAGCAAGGCATCGTCTGCTTCTGTACCACAGATTCCTCGAAGTGAGGGCGAGATCTTGCAGTCCCCCAACTTGAAAAGCTTCACATTCAGCGATCGTATTATAAGTTTATCCATTCCTTTGCCTACCTCCTCAAGTCACTTATTCAATGTTTATTTTCATTCTAATTGCAAATAATTTTAAATTATATAATAATGTAAAAAGCTTTCAAGAAAAGAAACAAGATTGTTATAACACCTTATTAAATGTTGAGATAGAATATTTCTTTATTTGAATCCGATAAAACTGTATAAAACTTTACTACTATCTGAGAATGTAGCATTTGAAAAAGATTCAACGATCACAAGAACACGAAAGCCAACAATTAAACAGAATTACTTTCAACTTTCAACTTCAAGTAATTAACTGAGTTAATCTTTATTAAGAAACTAATGTGCCCTACTCGAATTGTCTGTGTAGTGAAGAAAATTTGGAGAAGAAAGTCAATCTCCTTTAGTTTTACAAAAAGGTCCAAAAAGTAGTTTCTTTTCATATTACCCTACAACGAAGAAGAGCAGCTAAACAATCCATTTCTCCTTTTTTTTTCCCATCCCAACTTATATTTTCTCTAATAATTTTCTTTGCTAAACTGAAAAGCCCTGTAAGAAAACCACCTGTTCATCTTCAAGCTTGCTATTTCGTGGGGAGGTGCAGTATGGTGGGCTGCTGAGAACTAATTTTGAAAGTGATGATTCAAGAATATTAAGATGATTTACTTCAGATCTTGGGTCGTGAGGCTTGGGGGGGTGGTATAGCAGTTCATTCCATATAGACACTTGAGTTAGCAACTTGGTTGTTCTTTATTCTTGCATACTGAAAAATAATAAAATAAAAATCTTGAGGTAATTCTTTGAGGGTTCTTTAGTATTGCAAGGGGGATTTGCTTGAGCAACCAAATCAAGGCTGAGATCCCTTTTCATACTCGTGCAGTTATTTTCTGAATTTCTCAAATCATTTAGCAATAGACTAGAATGCCTTGCTCTTTATTATTGTTTCAGTTTTTTGATTATGGGAAAGTTCACCTCTGTGTAATTTTGTAGCTTTGTTTTTTGAAATAGAATTCGTGACACATGAAACTGTCTGTGTTTCTTAGTTGTTTATATGATTTCTTGTTCATTTATATCCTGTTAATTAGGTCATGTATCCCTCCACCATATGTTTCTGTTCTGTGCTATAATTGCTAACTTTTTTAGTAAAGATGGAATATATGGGCTTCAAGTGAAATCAAAATTCACATCCTATGCATTTGCTGAGTTAAGCGTAATTGGTTTTTACTTTCCTATTGAACCTGCCAAGAAAGAACAATGAGATAGGTGTTTGAGACGAGATCCTGCTAGGTTGATTTTTCCATCAATGGTTTTTATTTGGGAGAAACCTTCAATATATTATTCATTGCATGTGTTAATGTGAAGGAAATATCTACTGCTTATCTACACGATTTGTGCTTGATTTAGACATTCTTAAGAAATGTAATGTGTTTGGTTCAATAGTCTATCAATTAGTGGAAAGCGCTGATTTTGAATTTGTGATATATAATTTTATTACAATCAAAATATTTGATCTAACTAGAAAATATATGGAGGTGTTATTTCTTCTAAAAATGTGAGTGGAAATGGGACCGAGCTAAGTAATCCAAGCAGCAAGGCCTCATCTACTTCTATATCCCAGATTCCTTGGAGTGAGGGTGAGATCTTGCAATCCTCTAACTTAAAAATCTTCACGTTCTGCAATCGTATTATTAAGTGTATCCGTTCCTTAGCAGCTCCCTAACTCACTTATTCAATATTGTTTCGTTCTATTTGCAAATAATTTTAAATTATAAAAAATGTGAAAAGTTTTCAAGAAACGAAAAAAGATTGTTACAACAACTTATTAAATGTTGAGTTAGAATATTTCTATTTCTGAATCCGATAAAACTATATAAAACTTGATTACTATATGAGAATGTAGCATCTGAAAAAGACTCAACTTTAACAGGAACACGAAAGCCAACAACAAAGCAGAATTACTTTCAAATTCAATTAATTAGCTAAGTTAATCTTTATTGAGAAAGTAATACAACAAGTTGGAAAAGCAAGTCAATCTCCTGTAGTTCACAGAGAGGTCCAAAAAGTGGTTTCTTTTCATATGACCCTCCAAAGAAGAAGAACAAGAAAAGTAGTTAAACAATGCATTTCTCAGTTATTTTCTTCCCAACTTATAATTTCTCTCATGATTTTCTTTGCTCTACTGAAATGCCCTGTAAGAATGCCACATGTTCATCTTCAAGCTTGCTGCTTTGTGGGGGTGGTGCAGCATGGTGGGCGGCTGAGAAACTAATTTTAAAAGTGACAACTCAAGAATATTAACAGATTTACGTTAGATCTGTGGTCACGAGACTTGTGGGCTGGTATTGCGGTTCATTTCATATAGATACTTGAGTTAGCAACTTGTTTGTTCTTTATAATTGCATACTGTAAAAGAAAAATAAAAATGTTGAGGTTTTCTTTGGATTTTTGGCCGTGTTTTCTTTGGCTATAAGAGTATTTGATTTTCTGGAGGGCTCTTTAGTACTGTAAAAGGGATCTGCTTGAGAAACCAATTTAAGGCAGCCCTTTCATACTTACTGTTATTTTGTGAATTTTTCAATCCATTTAGCAATAGACTAGAATGCCTTGCTCTTTATTGTTGTTTTCAGCTCTTCGATTATGGGAAAGCTCACCTCTGTTTAATCTTCTAGCTTTGTTTCTGAATTGTCTTTCTTAGTTGTTTATATATTTTCTTGTTCATATATATCCTGCTGACTAGGTCATGTATCCCTCCACCCTATGTTTCTCCTCTGTGCTGTAATTGCTAATTTTTTAATTATAGATGGAATATATGGGCTGCAAGTGAAATTAGAATTCACATCCTTTCCATTTACTGAGTTTAGGGTAGTTGGTCTTTAATTTCCTATTGAAACTGCCTAGAAAGAACTATGAGATAGGTATTTGAGACTAGAGATTCTGCTTCGTTGATTTTCTCATCAATAATTTTTATTTGGGGGAATCTTCGATATATATTCTCCACAGTATATGTTACTACAAAAGAAATATCTACTCTTTATCTACACGATTTGTGCTAGAAGTATAGTTATTCTTAACATATTTAATATGTATTTGGTTCAACAGTCTATCAATTACGTTGGCAATAACAAGTGCAGATTTTGATTTTGAATTGTATAATTTTAATACAATCAAAATATCTGATCTAACTGGAAAGTATACGTTGGTGTTATTTCTTCTGAATATGTCCATGAAAAAGGGACCAAGCTAAGTAGTTCTAGCAGCAAGGCTACATCTTCTATACCCCTGGTTCCTCGGAGTGAAGGTGAGATCTTGCATTCCTCCAACTTGAAAAGATTCACATTGAACGATCTTAAGGCAGCCACAAGAAACTTTTGCCGAGAAAGTTATTTAGGGAAAGGGGGTTTTGGTAGAGTTTACAAGGGATGGGTTGATGAGCACTCACTTGCAGCATCAAAGCCTGGGTTTGGGATGGTGATAGCTGCTAAGTTGCTAAACAAAGATGGGTGGCAGGGTCACAATGAATGGTTGGTATGTACGATTTTCACCTTAAACTTATCAACTTTATAAAAGACCAAGTCTGTTTCGTAATTAAAAATGCATTCATTCACACTTTAAAACATGTCATAGCACAATCAAGACTTCCATGTACTTGGATATTTGTTGAGCATATTTGTTGCTTAATTTTATGTTATCTACTTGAATGGACTAATCTAATTGACATTGTAATTAATGCTTGGGGAGTAGACTCACGTGCGTGGAGATTTTGTGCATATCAGTCAAATAATTTTGGGTGCGTATAGCATTTGACAATTAATGCCTGCAATTATAATATAGTCCAGTCATGCAGCTGTCATGGCAATAACGAATTAGCAATATATCTTGTTCTGTTTCCCATTTAGATTATTTCCATTTCATTGATAAGCTTTAGTTTCGAATTCTCAGGCAGAAATTAACTATCTTGGGCAGCTGCACCACCCTAATCTTGTAAACTTAATTGGTTACTGCTTGGAGGATGACGAGAGACTTTTGGTTTATGAGTTCATGCCCAAGGGTAGCATGGAGAATCATCTATTCGGGAGTGAGTTCAATGTACCCTTTTTATGTGTACCATAATATAATATATCAGGGAATATTGAGTGAATATTGCTTGATGTCGAATTCTAGTTGACACAATGGTTTTATTTCGAGCTAGGAGGTTCTTACTTCCAGCCAATTTCCTGGAACCTAAGAATGAAAATTGCTCTGGGTGCTGCAAGAGGACTTGCCTTTCTTCACAGTGCCAAGGACAAAGTAATACATCGAGATTTCAATACTTGCAATATCTTGCTTGATTCGGTAAGTATATTTTGCTTGCTCTAGCCAAGAAAGGTTTGCTTTATAGTTTTTACCTCTTCACTAATTCAGCAGGGTTTATATTCATAGGACTTCTAAATGGTTAACGTGTAATTTCGCTGTTTGTGCTTTTGATTTGCAGAGCTACAATGCAAAAATTTCTGATTTTGGGTTGGCAAGGAATGGGCCAATTGGTGATAAGACTCACGTCTCAACTCAAGTCAAGGGAACTTTTGGATATACTGCTCCCGAGTATCTGAGAACAGGTACTAATGTCATGCAGTTTCCTCATTATTCCATTAATAGGTTAACCAAATTAATCACTTGCTGTATCATGTTTGTTGACCTTGACCAATATTTGAAGTTTTCTTGTCAAGTGATGTTTGCTGCATTTGTTATGGTCAACGCAAGTTGCTTGCTTCAGGGGGCTAGTGTATGGCAAATTGTCTCCTTCCTCATCAACCTATTTATTGCATCTGAATAAAAGGGTTATCGATCTTTGAATGCAATTGTTGAAATATGTAAGTTTGAAAAGGATTATGCTCTCAAAGTGCTCGGAAAAAACTGGGTTGTATAATCTGGTTTCCCCAGTCCACCACCATTGTTTTCTCCATTGAGTTCTCTTAGGTTTGAGCACAGCCTCCCTTTTTCTTGAAATAGAGGAAAACTAAATCCTCACCTCATACCTGTGGGGACATGCAACCAGCTGGCAATAAATGTTAGCTCTCGTGCTTCTCCAGTTCTCATTTCCCCGTCACTTCATCGAACATTGCTTGACTAAAAGAGTAAATCAATTTACTGTTTTTTGCTTTAATTTGCATCAGCAATTGGAATTGCAGTTCGCTCGCGAAATAGTTAAGCTATCCTAACAATTTTTTATTTTTGGGGGAGGCCAGGCCATTTAACTGCCAAGGTTGATGTATACAGCTTTGGAGTGGTACTACTAGAAATTTTATCTGGTAAGAAAGCAATAGACGAAAATCGGCCACTGGGGGAAGAAAATTTGGTTGAATGGGCAAAACCTTACCTGTTGAACTTACATAGAATACTGCACATTCTAGACCCCCGTCTCAAATGGCAGCACCCAATGGGTCAAGCCCTAAAGGCAGCTGCCCTTGCGTTTCAATGCCTAAGCCAAGAACCCAAGTTTAGGCCAGACATGGACGAGGTCGTAACTGCTTTAGAACAGGTTCTGGAGTCAAATGGCTGCTCAAAAAATGATCAAAACCATCACCAATCAGATTGACACAGCCAATCTCACTAGGGAGCTAGGTCATGCCGAAGCAGTGCTGAAGAAACTCGTGAAGTAATGGCTTATCCCAGTACTTCAGCTTCCCCTCTTTAAGCGTAAAAAACAAATGGAGGCATGTCACGATCTTCGTTGGTTTCGTTGGTTTAGTGGTGAACTTCCCGCATAGCTATATATATAACTCTGTCTTTTAAGGCATGTACATTTTTTTTTTGGGGCAATGCTTTTGTAATCACTAGGACAGCATTATTGTTAATGATCACAAAATATTATGGTGTACGTTGTCGAGGATGTTTTTCCATGAATGTCAAGAATCCTAGTTAACCGCAAGATAACTGCCCTTATGTTTCTTATGAAGCTACAATGAGATTATTGTCTTGCACATGCTTTGGCTTACGTGTATTGCTTAAGTACTTGTAATGTGGTGTTTGTCTCTTTTATTAATCTCATGGTAAAAAGGGCCAGAAGCCCAAAATAAGGATTACTTCAAATTAATCAATAAGTTCCAAATTTCAAAAATTAGATATTTTAAAATTTTATATATAAATAAATTTATTAAACATATGTTATATTAATAAAATATATTGAGGTAACAATTATATATAATTTGATCACACTTATCTAATTAATTAGTTACAACTTATCAATTATTTGTTACAACTTATTTCTCGATCATAAATAAAAAATCTTATAGATTACGAATCAATAATTTTATAGGTCACAAATTATTCATCGGTCACAAAATCAAAATTTTTTTTGATCACAACTCATTTATTTATTTCAAATTATTAAATTAATTAGTCACGATTAATTTTTGGGTCGCAATTTAATAAATTGTAAGTCACAGTCACAATTTTTAGGTCACATATTATAAATTATTAACCAATTATTAGTTACATTCAACCAAATAAATGATCGCAAGTATCCAACCCCATCTCATTCCACCTACGACCACCGTAACCACCATCACTATCACCATTACTGCACGACCACAACAGAGCACCTCTCCCAAATAGAGCCGCCACCACCTCACAACAAACCCATCAACATAGCACACCAACAAATTCAACACCACAACAGAGCACCACGCACTGAAGCTGCCACCACCGAACAGAGCTACCAGAACTACAACAAGAGCCGCCACCACCCACTGCCAGATCTAGGAATGGCAATCGGGCTCGTCGGCTCGAGCCGCCTGTGGCTCAGCCCGAAAAGAAATTTGAGCCGGTCCGACTCGAACTGAGCCCCAGTTTGGGCAAAGCCCGAGCCAACCCGTGTAGCTCACGGGTCTTTATTTAAAAAAAAAAAAATTAAAGGCAGTAACCTACTGCCTTACTTAAAGCAGCAGGTTGCTTCCTTATTTAAGTGATGCCTATAAAATAAAAAAATAAAAACAATGAGCCTGTCTGCTCGACTCAGAAAGGTACAAGCGGAAAGCTCGGGTCGAACTTAATTTTTTTGACTGAGCTTTTGCTCGATTCGTGCTCGGAAAAAAACTTGGACATTTTACCTGAGCCGAGCCCCAACCACCGAGCCGAATCGACTCGACTCGTTGACATTCCTAGATTTAACGCAACTGAGCCATCACCACAACATAGCCACCCCTGTCAGAGCCACCACAACGCACCATCCCACCCACATCACACACTACAACCCCCACCTCCATCAGCCATGTAACAAATCTAACCAAGCAATCACCATCGCCCCGACCAAAAACTATTATAGTCACCACTACTAAGGTTGGCAACGGTTCAGTTATGAGTCGGTTCAGCCAAATCCATAACCGCACCACCAATTTTTTTACCATACCATAACCGCACCATAACTACGAAAATCGGTTCGGTTCGGTTAATAACCATGAAAATAAATTATTTTTTATAAATTCATTCGTCAAATTGATATAAAACAATTTATTAAAAAAGTTAATGAAAATAAAAACACAATATTCCAAACGAAAATGCAAACATTATCCCAATTTCCAATTGCAAAATATAAATTTAACAAAAATATTATGAATATAACAATACTAAACTTTTCCTTCATTCTTGATTGTTGTTGTGCATCGAAATTATTTGATTCATTCTTCCCCACAAGTCTTACTAATATAGATCAGCACTCAAAGTTGATTCTTATATAATAAATAAGAAATGTAAGTAGAGAATACAACGATACTACCTATTCTAGAATGGTCTTAACTAAGATTTAAATTTAAAAAGTACCTCTTCGACAACTTCCTCCTCGTTAAATGTTGCACAAACTCTAGAGTATGATGAAAGAGTAAAATTTTCTACACATAATAAAAAAATTAACAATAAAAGGGAGTGTATAAATAACAAATATAAAAAAATAAATCCTATCGTAAATATCAGTCCAAAGCCAATCCCGAGTACACATTAAAGCTCCTAGAGTCTTCGAGTGGAGCCTATTTCTATGTGGACTCACAAATCTACCACTTATACTAAACGCCAACTCGGATGCTGGTAGTAATATCCCATTAAATCAAGATTTAAAATACCGATTCATATTGCACAACCTTACCCAGCACTTTGCCACAACAATATCAATTCATCAAAACATCCATCAAAGCTTTAAAAAAAGAAAAGAAAAAATGAACATTAATATATGCTCTACAATTCAAAAACATTAGAGCAAATCTAATATTAAAGAATCTAAGGCTTAAATGTAATATAAAAGCAATGCTAACCTTAAGAATTTGGTTGGAGTTGCGATCACGCCTCGAACTTGGCTCAAGTCTATACTACAATCAGTACTGATTGAATTTATCTTCTTTTCGAAAAAAATTGAAACAATTTCTGCATCAAATCTTGAAAATGCGTCCCTGGAATTGGATATAAAATGCAATCAGATTACAGATACAATAAAAATGACTGAGATGAAATTTTTGTTCCAATAATCTTGATTAAGAAGGCTCTTCACCTAAGGTCCTGTCATTTCTTTAAAATTGAAGTCCAATCTGATTCAAACTGAAGTCGTGTGAAAAAAATTTCAGAGGCAACGACAGCTTGGACCGTAGAGGCAGTGGAGTCATGCGTGAGTTTGTGGTTTGTAGAGAGTAGGGTTTGCATTTATATACTGTCATACTATTACTATTATTATTGGTTAATGGTAAGTAGGTTGACAGGCTGGGTCAGGTAGATGTATTGGGGGGGGGCGGATTTTGTTTTGGGCTGGATAGAAAAATAGGGTAAAATCAATTCAGTTGTTTTTTTTTAGTGGGTAATCGGTTCGATTTCGGTTCAATAGCATAAATAACATACCCGCACCGTCATGAACCGGTTCATTAAAATCAAATACCATACATGTCCCATTGCACCATCGGTTCGATTTTTTTCGCCCCATTCGGTTCGGTTAACCGCGATTTTCGATTTTGACAGTTCAAATTGCCATCCCTAACCACCACATCCACCACCAAACACCATCCACAAAAAAATCCCAAAATCATTGCGAGATGAGCACAGCATCGCGTGCAGTTGTTGCAGCAAAGCCAAACACGATGGCGCTGTCGTCACTTGGTGCAAGCATTGTTGTTGTGGCTTCTGACTATGCTGATACCATAGCTTCCGATGGTTGGTTTCTTTGCGGTGGTAGACGGAGAAGACATATAAATTGAATAAAAATGAAAAATGATTTTGGGTAGGATTTGGGTTGGAATGGGTCAAGGTGGAGTGGTAATATAGATTAAAATTTTTTTTATAAAATTATTATTATTATTATTATATAAAAATTATATTATTATCGGATTTTTGTATAAATAAATCTAGCTTATAATTTATGAAATGAGATCTTTAAAAGTAGAGTTTTATGTAATTTCCACTTAATAAATTTTCTTTTCGCTTTAAAATTTAAGGGAAAAATTCGTATATACCTTACATATATAAACAATTTCAGATTTTACTATTATGTTAACTTAAATACAGAAAATGCTGCATAAGTGTCTAAAAATATCAAAAGTCTCATAACGTAGAACTTTCTTTAGATTCATATGTAACAGAAAATCATATTAACCGAGATTCAAAGGGGAGGAATTCATTGAAAATTCTTGAAATGTGCGAATTCAAAATCGATCTTTTGTCATATAAGGCACCCTGAGATATCGAACTTCTATAATATGTCGTGGTTAATAGTCTATCCCATTGTTAAATGTTGAATTTCATGACTTTGCGGCACCAAGACATCCAAATTATCATTCAAACCTTATAAAAACTTGATCTTTTTTCATTTTGGTTTTGCAACGTGTTTATATCATTAACAATGCCCTGCGTACAGGGCACTATTTTACAGGTGGCTTATAGGCCCCCTCACTGTAGCTGTAGGTCGGTGGGACCGACTTGCATTTAAAAAAAGAAAAAAAAATTGTGCGGACCCCGCCCTTGTGTCTGTCCTAGGCGACCTCTGTAATTGCCCCCCTGTACGTGAAGCATCTCCCTTGTATCATTGTACATCACATGTGATATTTGCCTGAAATGTGGATTTTAGATAAGAAGATTACAATTCTACTTATATACAATGATTATTCTTCAACTGTGAACTTTTCATATTTTTGCATTTTGGTGAAATTGGTATTTTGATAAAATTTCTGATTAATATAGAATTTTAAAGTCGACATGTATACATAATTTTGTTAATATAAACCACCCGGGACACAGATTCATGGGTATTACATGTGTTCGCATCGCACAAGTTTCTTGATCTTTGTTGTAATGGAGAGGATGAGGGCTACGGATTTTTGGGCATGATTTGGGGTGGGGGTTATATGTATTGTTTTGCAAGTCATATTTGATTGAGTGATTGTATCTTTTTCTTTGAATAGTGATAAGATTTCTTGACGCAATGACACGACATTCGATTATCAGACTGCTTAAAATACAATCAATTTTTATATCAAATCAGATTTTGTCGGCACTTATTATGTCAGAGCATCTGTCGACATCTTTCTGACAAAGTGACTTTGCCCTATATTCTGTTGTTATCTACTTTCAAGTTTGCTTTAAGATGTTTCATATTGAATTTTTAGATCTATATATTTACTTTTTCACTTCTTTGCAGATTATTTTTTCAAACTAGCCCAAACTACAAAAATAATTTGGTTTGTTTAATTTAGTTTAGAAATAAAATGGTTAGGTTAGTTTGAAATTTGTTCAAAACCGCTCAAACATAACCACATCGCCACTGTGACACCAAATTTAATTACAAAATCAAAATTTGGATATTATTGCTAAAAGCTTAAAGTTTGTTACAGCACATCAGCTGCATTCTCTTGGTCACAAAAATACTGTTAACTTAATCCCATGGAAGAAGGAATAGATGACTGTATAAATAACTTCAGCAATAATTAATCAAAAACGAGTAGTGATATGAGAAAATAGAGCCTTGAAATCCTTCGTCGGTGTGCCAGTTCCCTCAGGTTTTGAAGCCAGGTCGAACGCTTTAAATTTTGCCTCCTCGAAGTTTAGTGCCTGTTCATAAGATCGCGTTGTGAAGAAAATTTTCTAATGCAATACTGAGATTAAGCAACCTTACATGTAGAACTGTGATTTCTCTGTAAAAGTAAGTACAAACCTGGATAAATAAATACTTTACCTGAATGCAGACTTCTGCAACATCTGCTCTGGCAATTGTTCTAGTTTCAGTCTTAAGAAGTTCGTCATCTTTTCCAACAAGCAGTTCTCTTACACCACCTTCTTTGTCTTGCAAGCCACCGGCCCTATACCAATCAACAGATGAAAGTAATGACTGAATTACGAAATAAAACTGAAAAGTGGAACATGGGGAATCTTAAGGGAGTCTGAATTGAGCATAATCAAAGTATCAATATCTCATTGTAAAACCTCGAAAAATCGATCTTTTTTATTTTTAAGGATTTGATTTATTGGATTAAGAATTCAGGACCATAGTCAAAGAACAGAATATTTTAATATCATTATATCTTTGTCGCTTGTTTTCCTAAATAAACTCACAATTATATAGCAGCATTAGTTTAAAGGAAATTAAGGTCCTTTTGCCCTGAAAACACAAAGAAGTCCACTCAAATGAAGATCAGTCAGAACATTAGTTCTTGATAAAATAAAGTTGAGCAGCAGAAGAAAGATTCATATGTAGTACATGTGCAATAAAATCAAGACGTAAATTTGTCGTATGTTGATGCAGACTAGGATGATGCATAGTTGACAAATCACAACAATAAACTAATTTTTATTTTCAATAAATTCTGAGTTGATAAATCCTTTTGCCGCTTCGTTCATCCAGCGGATCATCCCAGATAGATCGTTTTAATTTTAGTTAACATTTCCTTTTTAACTTGTTCTAAGGATAGAATTGGTCTATCTAGTATAACATTATGATGGATAATGCTAAAGATAAGGTATTTTGGTAGATTAAGGCAAATAATATACACTGTCTATCTTTTTATCCACAACCTAAACCCACATCAATCTCTGTATTATCTTAAATGGTTGACGGTGCAAATGACTATCATTTGAATGAAAAATTAAAGAGTAATAAACACATTTATCCACTATAATACCATTTACCCAGTACGATGCATTATAATTTTATATTAAATTTCTTAAACGATCTAATATGGCGCACCAAATGTAGCCGACATATCCCAAAATGTAACCCCACACTCTCCTCAGTCTTTAATTGATTTCACCATCACTTTTGACTACAGTATGACCAGATAATGATCTTAATGTCCTTGTTTATGCTATTTCCATCTTATGCACATTTTGCATGTTGATGACCACCACTCACAACCACAAAGCACATCTAGTCCAGTAACAGTTCACTAGAACATGCTCTTTTACTTCATAAATGTGTTCCAAGAACCCTTCTACCACCTTTCCACTTTGTCCAACCTTACATTAATCTATGCATTACATTCTTAACAAAGTTGAAAAAAAAAAATTAAAAAAAAATTGATGCACATTACTGTAAATAAATCATATCCTTCTCGTTTAATTAATATTGGTTGCATACACCCATGAATAAGGATCCTAGCGTACTATTTCCTGCCTGTAATGATGGTTGAATCCAAGTTCCTGGGTATTGCTGCAGATTAACGGAAAACAAACTAATATTGAATCCTAAGTTTATACAGGGGTGAAATATACTCGTAACTACTTGCACCTAATATTTGCATACAAAAACATGAGCACGTTTATAATCTTTACTAGCTGTAGAAGTGAAAATATGGGCATACCTAATAATGGTGTATGGAATTCCTGAGTCAGCTAAATATTGTTCCGCCTTTCTCTTCCATACCTGTACTCCATATATCAGTTAGTTTTTTTTTTTTTTTTTTTTTTGTGAAAATGCATAGTGATGATGTAACAACTGGCCCTTAGACATTTTCTGCTCACTATTTTACACTGGAGTTTCCATTTCCATTTAAGATGTACCCATATGATGTTAAAAAGAAGTGCGTCTATGCAAATAAGAAAGGTTTTTCACCTTTCTTTTCCTTTCAGTTTTCAAATAAGAACACCGGAGAACCGTTTTCCCAGATTAATTAAATTAATTGATTTGCATGAGATGCAGTTCAAAAATTATCTATCACTATGTGCGTGTATAAACAACCACGAGAAGGGAGAAAAAATAAGAAATAAAAAATGCCAAAAGTAAAAAGTAAGTGGAACGATTGAAATGAAGGGATCAAAACGCAACCCCATGTCACAAGGGAAAGGAAGTGCATCAAAGTTGAGGGGGGAAAACATAAAAGGAAATATAGGCAAAAGATGGAAATACCAATATGTTTCCATTTCCCAAGCTATTTAGGGGATTGTTTAGATCTGTTCCTCCCATTGATCCAACCAATACAATGTGCTTCACTCCCGCAGCTTTGGCTGTTCATCACATAAGTTAGAGATTTTAATATAATGATCCGAAAGAGAAGTTATTAGAAACAGAATACTAATAAAAATTCTGACCAGCATCTATCTGATTCTTTTGCCCAATCCAGTCAACCTAGAAAAGAAAGCTAGAATAAGATAGTATCTCGTACAAAGAACCCCATATACAACAGATTCAATAACAGCCACAATAGATACCTGTTCAGGGTCCGCTCCATCTTCAAAATAGAATTCAGGCCTGCCACCTTTTGCTGGGTCAAACCCGGGTTTCATCTTTGGCACCGCACTTGTGAGAATTATGAGAGCATCAATACCTTGGATTGCTGGAGCAATGCTCTCTGCTGTCCTTATATCCCCAATGTAAACATCATCTAAACCGCCAATCTTTTCCTTGCTCTCCTGAGTTCTTACCAATCCTCTACCAGCATACTGGTCCGATCTCTCCTTCAGTTTCTTATAAACAATTTGGCCTGCAGTAATCGAACATTGTATAAGAATGTTGGTAGGATATTGGACATGCAATCTTGATTCTTGAACTACTGATCTTGTTTTCATTCCAAGTAACTGTAAATTTAATAAACTGATGTAACACTGAAGTTTTTCTACTATCTATTGAATTACAATAACTCCTAAGGTAACATATATGAGCATATATTGGGCATGATATAGATTCATATAATCACAACTTTGCATTGTTAGCCTCAGACTCAGTCACTCGAGTAAATTTAACTCTGGAATTGATAGGGCAGGCAATGCTTTCTGTTTGGATTGTGATGCCAAATCAATCATTGCGCTATGATGAAAAGGGCCTGGCCCAATAGCTGGTATTATATTTCCATTGCCCGATAATTCAATGGTAGAGGCCCATCTACCCAAGCCCAAACATGAGGCCACGTGTGCTACTCCGAGCCCTTGGATCACCCAGTTGATCTACGGTGATCTGTTCTTCAATATGGTGGTGCCCTAGTTGACTGAGCGTGATATTTTTCTGGGGACTCTTGAACTCTCTAGAACGAGTCCTTTTCTCTGCCTCTCATCTCCTTTGTCTTCTTCGTGTTTTTTCTTCCAAGTTCTCTGTGATTTGGAACTTGATTCATTCTGTGTGAACAATAAATCTTAGTGATTCCTTTTGAAAGGAGTTAGTGGAGTCAGTGAAGGGGGTTTTCTTTGTGGCTCGTTGAAGTAGCTGCGTCCGGGTTCTTTTTGTGGGGTTTGGGTTGATTCTTGGTGTCTCTACCATTGTACAGAAGGGTACAATGTTAATTTCTGAGCCCTGACAATTGATTGAACGATATAAAATTGGTTTGGTCTTGTTCTTGGTCGAATTTTTCTCTATGTGAGATCCGAAAATACTTTGTGTATTTCTTGAGTTCTATTATAACAGTGGTATCAGAGCCTTCAAGGCTTCCTTCGACCGTGATCTGGATGTGAAAAATTCATTTTCACAGTCAGATCCTTTTTTTTTCACATCTGACTCTTTTCGCTATTTTTTTTTAAAATCACTTCAGTACTTTATGTGTACTAACCATTGATCTATTGTTGAGTCCTTGTTTTCCCAAAACGCAGGTCCTATTTTTTTGCGAACCAACACTTGAGTAACCCATACTGTTCGTGAGGCTTGTTTCTTGGTCACTAGCTTGAGTGATCAATATTGAATGATCACTCCTCTGGTTTGCGACTATTTTTCCCTTTTTTAACATTTAATCCATTCTTCCTAGCCATAGATGTTTTACATAATTTTTGAATACTATTAGCCAATGAATTACTGAGTTGATATTTCTAAAACGTACGTATTGTGATTACTGTAAATTGGTGAATTACTAAGTTCTTATTTCTGAAAGTATTACATACGTTTATTGATTTAATCTGATACTCATATAATCCTTTTCCTGCTTCCTGTTCTGATGACCTAAATTGTGCCTTGACCTAAGGACATGATCCTTACGGAATCTTGGTGAATTTGGGCATTTGGAACTTGAAGTTTGTTGCATTGAATACATTGTCATTTCTTGTTATTTTGAACACTACATGTGTTAATGTTTTCTTGATTCTTGAAGCTTCTTGGTACATAATAACCTTTGTGATCTTGTGTATTATCACATTTTATTCTGCACCACCTCTTTTCTGTTGAACGTTGAACTTCAAATAATTTTCTTGTGTTGGTTAAACATTCCAAAATGACAACAACTACGTTTGAACTTGGAGTTTTTAATGGAAAAGGGGATTTCCCCATTTGGCAACAAAAAATGAAAGGAGTCCTTGTTCAACAGAAAGTTGCAAAAGCCATTACTTGTGATTTTCCTGATACTATAACTGATGCACAAAAAATTGAGTGTGATGAACTTGCCTATACCTCTATTATATTGCATATATCTGATCAAGTTCTAAGAAAAGTTGGGAAACATGATAGTGCTAGAGATTTGTGGAAAAAACTAGAAGAACTTTATTTAGTTAAGTCCCTACTTAATAAATTGTTCCTCTTAGCAAGGTTTTTTAGTTTTAAGATTGACATGACTAAAGACTTAGAAGATAACTTTGACATTTTTAATAAATTGGTTCAATATATTACCAATGCAGGAGACAAAGTCTCTAATGAATACAAGGCTATGATTCTTCTAAATTAATTACCTGAAATGTATAACGATGTCAAAAGTGCCATTAAATATGGCAGGGATTCTTTGACTCCTAAAGTTGTTATTAACTCTTTAAGGAGCAAAGATCTGGAACTTAAAATCGAGAAGCGTGGAAGAGAATCTGAGAGTTTATTTGTTATAGGGAGGTCACTTAATAGGCAAAACCATAGTCAGGATAATCAGAGTTATCAAGGAAATAATAATAACAAGAAGAAAGGGAGAGGAAGACCTAGGTCAAAGTCTAGGACCGGGACTGGGAATAGGAAATGTTATGGATGTGGGAAATCAGGTCACTTTATTAAGGATTGTTTTAAGAAAAAGAATGAACAGAGGGATAAGAAAGTAGATGAGGGAAATGTAGTTGAATCCCTAGATGATAAAACTGTGGATGTTTATGTTGTTACTGAACCTGTTACTGATCAGCATATTGTAAATTTTTCTGAAAATATAGACCAGAATCAAGAATGGATTCTTGACTCTAGTTGCACTTTCCATATGACTTCTAAAAGGTCTTGTTTAGAAAATTTTAAAGAAATGAATGGAGGTGAGATAGTAATGGGTAATAATGCAACCTGTAAAGTTTTAGGAATTGGCAATGTGACTTTAAAATTTGAAAATGGATACATCTTTACCCTAGAGAGAGTAAAGTATGTTCCTGACTTAAATAGAAATTTAATTTTTATGGGTGATCTAGATGACATTGGTCTCCAAGCTAAACTTGGAAATGGTTTGTTAAAAGTCTTTAAAGGCTCTCTTGTAATATTCAAGGGTGCCAAAAGAAATGGTATATATGTCACTAGAGTTGAAATAGTTTCAAGTCATACTGCTGAGTCCTTAACTACTGGAGTTGATGCCACCTTAAAATGGCACAACAGGCTGGCACATGTTAGTGAAAGAGGTCTGCATATTTTGAATAAAATGGGTGTTTTTGGAAAAGATAATTTTTCAAAAATTCCTTTTTGTGATTACTGTATACTTGGTAAACAACATAGGCTTCACTTTAATACGGGAAAGCATGAAACTACTTCTGTTCTGGAGTATGTACATGCTAATTTGTGGGGACCCTCATCTACTATTACCCAAGGAGAAAACAAATATTTTCTGTCCTTGATTGATGATTTTTCAAGAAAAGTTTGGATTTTTCTGTTAAAACAAAAATCAGATACTTCTGAAAAATTTAAAATTTGGAAAACCTTGATTGAAAATCAAACTAGGAAGAAAATCAAGGTATTAAGAAGTGATAACGGTCTAGAATTTTGTAATGTTGTTTTTGATCAATTATGTAAGGATAGTGGAATCCTTAGGCATAAAACAGTTCCTTATACCCCTCAGCAAAATGGAGTTGCTGAGAGGATGAATAGGACTATTCTAGACAAAGTAAGATGCATGATGATCAGTTCTGGAGTTCCTAAAGTACTGTGGGGTGAAGCTGCTATGACTGCAGTTTATATCATAAATAGAACCCCAAGTGGTGCCATAGATGGCAGAACACCCGAGGAGGTATGGACTGGAAAAATACCAGATTATAGTCACTTGAAGACCTTTGGTTGTGCAGCCTTTTCCCATCAAAATAGTGGTAAACTTGAACCTAGATCCCAAAAATGTGTTTTTATGGGATACCCTGAAGGAGTTAAAGGGTATAGGTTGTGGGATAGGAGTGTGAAGGGGTTTAGAATGATCACAAGTAGGAATGTGACCTTCAATGAGTGTGATATGCCCTGCATGACTAATAAACATCAGATTAGTGCTTCTAGTATTGAGGAAGAAGAGATGACTAGGCTGCAGGTGGAGCCTTTGTCACCTCTGAACATACTGATAATGTTCAGGAAGAGACCGGTGAAGTTTTTAATGAAAATATAGAAGGTGAAGTTGATGTTCAAGAAGTTGGTGAAGAAGAAAATTCATTAGATGGTTACCAGTTAGCTAGGGATAGGGTTAGAAGAGAAATAAGGGAACCCATTAGAATGAGAGACTACCTATCTCTAGCTTTACTGACTTATCAAGATCTGGCCTTTAAGGAACCAAAAACATATGAGAAGGCTATGAGTTGTCAGTCTTCAAAAGACTGGCAATTGACTATGGAAGAGGAAATGAACTCTTTAAGGAAAAATGAAACCTGGATTTTGGTTCCTAAACCTAAAGATAAATCCTTAGTTGATTGTAAATGGATCTATACAATTAAGGAAGGAAATACAGCAAATCAGCCCCTAAGATTTAAGGCCAGATTAGTGGCAAAAGGGTTTACTCAAAAATCCGGTATTGATTATAATGAAATTTTCTCACCTGTAGTGAGATATACTACCATACGTGTTATGCTTGCATTAGTTGCTCATTATGATCTTGAACTTGAACAAATGGACGTAAAAACTGCCTTTTTGCATGGAGACTTGGATGAAATTATCTATATGAGACGACCACCTGGATATGTAGATAATAAGAAACCTGAGCATGTGTGCTTGTTAAAGAGATCATTGTATGGACTTAAACAATCACCTAGACAATGGTATAAACACTTGGATAATTTTGTGTCTTCTGTAGGTTTTCTTAGAAGCTCTTTTGATCATTGTCTATATTTGAAAAAAGATAAATCTGAATCTGTGATTGTTTACCTACTTCTTTATGTGGATGATATGTTGTTAATTGGACAGCATCTTAGTGATATTAATGATATTAGGAGATCTTTATGCTCTGAATTTGAAATTAAAGACTTCGGACATGCTAGAAGAATTTTAGGTATGGATATTAAGAGAAATAGATCCAAAAAGTTTTTTTTCTATCACAATCTACCTATGTTGAAAAAGTCATATCTAAATTTTCCATGCATAAATAAAAAACTGTCACTTTACCACTTGCAAGTCATTTTAAATTAAGTAAAGATCAGTGTCCAATTGATGAATTTGATGTGAAATCCATGCAAAAAGTCCCCTATGCTAATGTTGTGGGGTCTGTAATGTACACTATGGTGTGTACCAGACCTAATGTAGCTCATGCGATTAGTGCCCTAAGTAGATTTATGGCCAATCCTGGCCATCAACATTGGACAGCCTTAAAATGGTTACTCAGGTATCTAAAAGGAACATCTAACTCAGGTTTATGTTTTAATCCTAGTAAAGAAGATGTTATATTAAAGAGGTTTGTAGATTCAGATTATGCTGGGGACAGAGACAATAGAAAATCAACAACATCTTACATATTTATTTTGTGTGGCACTTGTGTGAGTTGGAAATCACAATTACAGCCTATTGTTGCACTTTCAACCACTGAAGCAGAATATGTGGCTGCTACTGAAACCATAAAAGAAGCACTATAGCTCAAAGGTTTGTTATGTGAAATTAATGTTCTGTCAAAACCTGTTGTAGTTTACTCAGATAGTCAAAGTGCAATTCATCTATGTAAAAATCCTGTATTTCATGAAAGGACCAAGCATATAGATGTTAGAATGTATTTTATAAGAGACATAATTCATAAAGAATCTGTTGTACTTGAAAAGATCCCAACTGAATTTAATCCTGCTGATATGGGAACCAAGGTACTGCCTCTTAACAAGTTTAGGTCCTGTTTGAAAATGCTGAAAATTGATACTGGGTAACCTTTGTTGTAATGCAAGTACTCTAAACCTCTTGGTGCAATAATCTGTGGAACTTAAAGAAGAAAATGAATTTGTTTCATATCCCTGTAGTGTGCCTACTGGTTATTGGCATCAAGGTGGAGATTGTTTGAATTGTGATGTCAAATCAATCATTGGGCCATAATGAAAAGGGCCTGGCCAAATAGCTGGTATTATATTTCCATTGCCCGATAATTCAATGGTAGAGGCCCATCTACCCGAGCCCAAACATGCGGCCACATGTGCTGCTCCGAGCCCTTGGATCACCCAGTTGATCTACCGTGATCTGTTTTTCAATATAAGGGACCTTTTGGCGGTGCCCTAGTTGACTGACCGTGATATTTTTCTGGTGACTCTTGAACTCTCTAGAATGAGTCATTTTCTCTGCTCTCATCTCCTTCGTCTTCTTTGTGTTTTTTCTTCCAAGTTCTATGTGATTTGGAACTTGATTCATTCTGTGTGAACAGTAAATCTTAGTAATTCCTTTTGAAAGGAGTTAGTGGAGTCAGTGAAGGAGGTTTTCTTTGTGGCTCGTCGAAGTAGCTCTGTTCGGGTTCCTTTTGTGTGGTTTGGGTTGATTCTTGGTGTCTCCACCATTGTAAAGAAGGGCACAATGTTAATTTCTGAGCCCTGACAATTGATTGAACAATATACAGTTGGTTTGGTCTTGTTCTTAGTCGAATTTTTCTCTACGTGAGATCTGAAAATACTTTGTGTATTTCTTGAGTTCTATTATAACACTTTCAATAACACAGCCAACAAAGACTAATGTAAAATGTTGATTGCAAATTACAATCTCTTTACCTACCCTTGTTGATAAAATAAAACATTAATATTCCAAATATACCGAAAAAAAACCAAACATCCAAAAAGAAACAATTCAACCATGGAGTTCCTCAAATATATACATAATTCACTACGAAATAGATGGAGAACTTATAAAGGTTTTTACCAGTTCTTCCACCAGCTCCTGTAACAAGAACAGTGCTTTTGTTTAAATCAGCCATCGCCACCACAGAAAATCTCCTCAAATTCTTGGCTTTTAAAGAGGAAATGGCGGATAATTCTGGAAGTCGAGTGCGACTACTGGAGTATACACATTTATGGGTGGCAATTGAAATTGGATTGGGGAAAGGGACACGTGTCACGGCAGCCATTGTTATGCGGAAATTAGTATTCCATTCGTTGGAGTAAATTTTGCGAAGCTGCTAATGAAGATTCTAGATATCCGGAAACTAATATTCCATTTGTTTGGGCTCTGTATTTGCTTATCCTTTTGTCAGATGCCTCCAACCAATCACTTTAATATGTTTTGATTGTCGGAATCTGTGGTAATTGGACCTTATGTTTGTGGACGGCCCATGAAGAAATATATTGGGCTCTCAAATGGATTTAAACCACGGGCTGTGTCCTAAAATATTGAGAATTTATGTAGTTGTGACTTAAAAATCAAGATGAGGACTTTTAAAAAACTAAGGAATTGATTAATGCACTTAAATCAAATCAAAGTTTTAATAGTCGTATTAATCATGCCTACCAAAAGTTAAAACATTTGAAAATCAACAAAATCATTCCAAAGACGCTGTATTCCCTCATTCTGATATTTTCCATTTTTTAAAAATTTTATTATTAAAATATTTTCGTTTAATACGCTATTTTACGCTACGATTATCTATTTTAAGCAGTTTAAAATCTGTTAGAAAGCTTGAAATGTGACCATGATAAATATGTTATGGACGAAGTTTAAATGTCAAAAATTATCACAAATGAATTATGGAATGCAAAGTAAACAATAATTACTAACACCATTTCTTGTCGCCTTTTTGAATAGTTATTTTGAACTCGTCGTTTATCGATTTAAATTTCAAAGATATATTTGAAAGTTTATCGTGAATTATTCAAAACGATAACAAAAATCTCGCCCAACGAGTGAAGAAAATAGCTCGTAAATAAGCCAAAGAACGTAATGTCAATTTGAATTCATATGTAATAATATAAAACAGAGCTTGAATTCGTATGTTCAATTTTCAAAATAAAAGCTTGTTTTCAAATGTATTAAAATAAAACAGGGCTTGAATTCGTATATTTAAAATTTCAAAAATACAGACATAGTTATTAAGTTAATTGTTCAAATGAGATACTGTGACTTTTTTTTTTTTTTTTAAATGGCTTTTTCAAAATGCACACATATGTACCTAGTTAATTCTTGCGGCATTTTGACTAGTTATTTTGAACCCGTCGTTTATCAATTTTTAAATTCGAAAGATATATTTCAAAGTTTATTGTGAATGCTTCAAAACGTTAACAAAAATCTCACCTGACGAGTGAAGAAAATAGCTCATAAATAAGCCAAAAACATAACATTAATTTTGAATTCATATGTATTAGCATAAAACAGGGCTTGAATTTATATGTTCAATTTCCAAAATAAAGCTTATTTTTATATGTATTAAAATAAAACAAAGCTCGTATATATATATATATATATATATATATATATATATATATATATTACCAGAAAATAGGGTTTGAATTAGTATGTTCAAAATTCCAAAAATACACACGTATGTATCTAGTTAATTGCTCCAATGATATAGTGTGACTGCTTTTGAGAATGTCAAATTTTTAATATTCTCTTTAAGCAAACACCTTGTATGCATCAATGTATTGATTCAAAGTTTTCTTTTTCACATGTATTACAAGAAAAAATAGGGTTTGAATTTGTGTGTTTAAATTTTCAAAAATGCACATATATGCATCTAGTTAATTGCTTTAATGATATAGCGCGACTTTTTTTTTTTTTTTTTTTTAAAAAAAAAAGAAAAAATGTTATTTTTAAAAAAAAAAAAAAAAAAAAAAAAAAAGTGACACAATTTACGTTCTTCTTGAGTAAACACCTTACATACATCAATGTAATTGGTTCAAAATTTCTTTTTCATATGTATCAACAGAAAATAGGGCTTGAATTGGTATGTTCAGATTTTCAAAAATGCACACGTATGCATCTAGTTAATTGTTTCAATGATATAATGTGACTTTTTTTGAGAAAAGTAACATAATATCATTTTTTCACATTCTTCTTAGAGCAAACACATTTGCATGTACCAATGTAATTGATTCAAAATTTTATTTTTAATATGTATTACTAGAAAACATGGCTTGAATTGGTATGCTCAAATTTTCAAAGATACACACGTACGCATCTAAGTAAAGCTCCAATAATACAGTGTGACTTTTAAAGTGAAAGAATATCATTTTTTTCACATTCTCTTTTTGTCAAATGCCTTGCATGCATCATTTTAAGTGATTAAAAGCTAATTTTTCATATATATTACAAGAAAACATGGCTTAAATTGATATGTTTAAATTTTAAAAAATGTACATGTATGCATCTAGGAAACTGCTATAGTGTGATTTTTAGTTTTTTTTTTTGAAGAAAAGTGACTGTCACTTTGGAGAAAAGTAACAGAATTCACATTCTCCTTGAACAAACATGTTGTATGCATCAATATAATTGATTCAAAGGTTTCTTTTTCATATGTACTATCATAAAATAGAGCTTGAAATAGTATGTTCAGATTTTCAAAAATGCACACTTATACATCTAGATAATTGCTCCAATGATATAGTGTAACTTTTTTCTTCTTCTTCTTCTTCTTCTTCTTCTTCTTCTTCTTCTTCTTCTTCTTCTTCTTTTTTAAAGGATAAATGTCACTTTTCCTTATTCTTCTTTTGTTAAACACCTTGCATTATCATTTTAATTGATTCAAAGCTAATTTTTCATATGTTCTGACACAATTCATTTCCTCTCAAGTTCAACAATGTTGTTTTGAAACATGTTTTCAATCACAATAAAAAAATCATCAAAAAGAAACTTAATGAAAGTTAATTATTTACATTATAAGGTTTAAACTAAACATAATAATGAAATTCAAATAAAAGTGAGATATGTGCAATGAACTATGATGATTAGAATTTGCAAGTGAGAGATTATTTAGTGGGAAATTGATAATTACGGTTGTAATTCTAGTAATCTATGCAAAGAGAATACTAAACAATCTTAAAATAACAAAATTGGGGAATTAATTAATAAAGATTCAACACACATAAAAAAAATGTAATTTTATTTGTGTATTATAGGAAGGTTGTCTTAATCATTTTTCAGAGATTTCAATGTTGAATTAATCTTGATCTTTTTCCAAAACTTTGAATAATGGACGAATATGTGGAAGATTTCCTCTTTCCCTTTAGAATTTTCCCTTGATTTTTCTAGTTTGGAGGGTGGTTTTTAGTTTTAAACGTACCATTTAATTCAACTTTATCAGGTTTTTTCAAAACGGTCATAAAATACAGGGTATTTGTGTAAGTACCCCAATCAAGCTTACATCAGTTTTGGTTTTGCTAAAAATAAGATTTTTTAGTAAATTTTGATTAATAAAAGTTGTGAGTTCAGTTAAAAATATGATTAAAATTAATTTTCCAAATTTTTTTGATAAAAGTCAATAAATATTATGATTAAGAAGTTAATAAAATTGTAACCCGCTTAAAAATATGATTAAAACTAATTGTTGATTTAACTTAGATTTTTATTAATTTTTTTTAACTAATTCAAACTAGGGGCCAGATGTATAAATTATCGAGACTTAAAAGCTCTATCGCAATCTCTACGTAATACTAACACTTAAAAATTTATTCACGAATTTGTAAAAAGTAGTCGATGAGGAATTTCATTAGTAGTCTATTCAATTTCATGCTTAGCTCAGATATTGTATGGCTAAAGAATTTTGATTAAAAAAAAAAATAATAATAATAATAAATAAATAAGATTTAACCAGTGATTTTCTTGAAGTGAATGACATTCTAGTATTTTTAAGAGAATAGTGGGGGCTTTTCTACATTCTAGATAGGACTATATAAGTCGTTAAGGAATTATATATGATTCAAATGGTCAATCTCTCAGCAATTTGCGCAAACAGAACCCCCTATGTAAATTGGATTTGTCAAAAGATAACAACTCCTCCTTTGCAGCAGATACATTTCAAGAATTTCCTAGATATTTGAAGGCGTACGTTAAGATAAAAAGTAAAATGTGTGAACTCTTCGATAAACTATGACCTCTTTTGTTTATTAGTAGATTTTTAACTTTTAAGTCTTTTCTTTTAGTCAAGTGGAGCAATATTGTGCCACATTAAGCTTTTGAATGTAATCAAAATCGACTTCATGTTTGACCTCATGTGTTTTATCTTGTTTAGCACAACATATGGCCTTTTACATCTGGTTCGTCTTTGTGTCTATCAATTGAGTTGGACATTTTCGTGATATTTCGAGGTTTATATGTACTTGGTGCTGTTGTTATTCGATTTAAGATGATAAGCATGAGATTGCCTTGCTGATTAACTTTTATGACTAGATTATCTATAAGATTATTATTGTTCTTTATCAATTATTGAACTCCAATCATATTCAAAGTTGCCAGTCAACTTGGCTTCTCTACTTTAATTTTAGAAAATTTGTAGTGGAGGTCCCAACCCTTTAAAAAATATGTCGCCGAATTTCAAACTTTCTAATCTTGTAGCTATATCCCACTTTTAATAAATGTGTGTCGAAAGGACTATTTTCCCCTTTTTCCTCATATTTGATTCATTTTAATTAATTTTATTTTAACTTTTTTGAATGAAAAATTTGTGGAAGGACTATTTTGCTCTTATTAGAATTGGTCAAAAAAAGGTAAAATAATTTATTTTTGGTCAACTAACAATCTTTTATACCGAAACAGTCCAAATGTCATTTGATGCACATTTAGTAAAAGGTCTGTAACCTACCAGCATATTCTTGAAAAGTTTGGGACCTCTACTGCAAATTTCCATTTATTTAATTTTATCTTTCTAATAGACACCCTACTAATAATTGGGCATGCCAGCCAATAACCCCTCATACCTTAAACAAATGCAAAAAGATGTAATGATGTACCAAGAAAATGAGAAGTGCTCTCAATGATTGGATTTGAACGTGTCAAATGTAAATGCTTCTAACATAGATCGTGATCATCATGAGTAATACTTTAATCATAATTTTGATGTTGATCCGGTTATAGAATATGAAATTCTTCCCAATATTATGGCAAAAATGATACGATTGTATTCATATTAATCATAATGATGTGAAAGTTAGGATCATAAGAACCGTCTAATGACAATATTGATTCAATGATACACCAACAATCTTGGCCACTCCATATA